TGGATCTTGAATTCAGATTGTTCAAAGGTGACTGGCCCCTGTGCCCGCTGATATTGGCTCTGTGACTTTGGTCAGGTAACTTACCTCCTCTGCCTTAGTTTTTTCTTCAGTGAAAATGGAGATGATTCAAGAATAAATTATTTAATGCTAGTGAGTCAGCACAGTGCCTAGTACAGTGTGAGCATTTATGAAAAGTTAAACTGATTGTTCTAATTATTAACATAATATAGAACAATCTCAAAAAAAGACTGATGTTAGCCTTTATGAGATAGTACTGGATTTGGTTCCAAAGCAGTAAACACTATATGCATCTGGTTGTGATTTTGTTTGCGTTATTTTGGTAAAATTTAACCTGTTCATCAGTACATACTTAGTTGCACAAAGTTTGTAAGTTTTCTTATGTTCATGAGAAAGTTGAAGTAAATACTTGACCTTTTACATCATCATAAAAGTACATCACAGGGATGAACTTCCATAGAATTACTCTGTTAGTATTTTTGCATTAAGCCAAAGGACAGGCCAATCACATTTGAGATTTTCATTTGAATGGATTTGAATAGTGATTATGTAACATTTAAAAATTAAAGTATACAATAATAATGAAAATGTGCTTCATGTCATAGCCCGTACCATTTTTTAATTTTTGGTGTCAGAAACTCTTACTATCAGTAAACAGGTTATGGCTTTTCTCCTGAACTACCCAACTAACCAGGGGTTAACAATTCATTTCTTGGAGACATCCAGATCACCTCACAGGAAAAAAAGTGAATTCTTCTGAACTGTGAAAAGAGATGAGACAGCCTGAGAAATGAAATTATTATCTCCCCAAGCCCATAAGAGCAGATAGTACAATAAAGAACCTTTTTCCCTTTGTCCTTGGCCTCAGAAGTCTGTCCCATTTTGCTTTTTTCTAAAAATGTGGGCCTAACCAGTGGGATGTCTGTCTGTCCCATGGCAGATCAGGAGGAAACATTTGAAGGCAAATTTGCCTTTGGCTTAGCATAGTCCTAAACATGAGATCAGTAAATCCTTGAATATTTTGGGTGGGACATACACATAGCTCATCCAGAAGCAGGGTAACCTTGGGATATGGAGAGAAATTGATTTGGCCCAAGGGCATTGCTTTAGACTTCATAGGAACATGTCCTGTTGAAATAAATAACCAATTTGTGATCCATGATGCCATTCCCGAATATGCTTATGACTCTTATCCTTTTCGCTGTAAAAGAAAAAATACAACAATGTGCAAAAAGAAAAAAATGATCCTGGAACTATGTATGATGGAAACAGTATAGCATCAAAAAAGCAAACTTTATCAACACAGAAAATTCTGTTTATGAAAAAGGGTGATGCTTTTTTGTGCAAATATTTAATATAAATTGGAAAAAGAAACCAAAGAATAGATAAAAACTTAAGTTAATCCAATTAAGTAAATTTTCTTGTAAGCAAAGAGCATGTATGTGGAGTGTGTTCTGATGAAGAGTCCTGTAATTTTCTGAGCTCCTTTTCCTCTTTTGAGGATGAAAGCAAATGGTCCAGGATGAGATGTTAGTAGACATTAAGTGCACATTGTATTGTGGAACTATACAGTGAGGAACATGAATATTCAGATGTGGAAAAGGAAATATGGGTCACCACTGAACTGATGTACCTATAAGGACAAATGCTACAAAAGTCCAGCTCATCACATTGTAGGAATCTGAGAGATCAAGGGTATATCTTGTGATGAACCTGTTCTGGAGTCACAGAAATGACTGCTAGCTGTTCCTGATTGAAGACTACTTGAGGCAGAATGACCCAGAAAGTTTATATGGTAGCAAAGGCAAAAGCTTAATTAGATGTATCACTTCTGATTGCATAAGTACACACTCCGGGAAAGAGGGAGATTAATTGTAATGTGCAGTTGGAAGGGTGACTTTCAAAAATGTAAGAACTCTGGAGTTACCCTGTGCTGCTGTTTAATAGTGGCCATCTTTGGGTGGCAGGATTTAAGAAAATAGTTATTTGTGTCTCTCTTTCTGCAAGGGGAACATGTAATTCTACGATGAAACATATTTGGAAAGGATATCCTCTTACAGATTCAAGGAATGAAAACAATGTGGCTCCTTCTATAAGCTAAACTAAACGTCAGTTCATGATCCCATCTCATATTGTAAAATAGTTAAAGGTTAATATATTGTTGAAAATATTCAAAAGATTACTGCCAGAAGTCAATGTAGAGTTTTCTTTTTTTTAACTGCTTATTTATTTAAACCTGGAAACAGGTCTCAATTAGCAAAGGACTTTCAAAATCATATTTTGTTCAGAAGGGACCAGGGTTGTACACAGTTGGGTGTGTATGTGTGTGTGTGTGTTGAACTTCCTCTTATTAAGGGGTTCTTAATGACAGAAACTTTGTATCTTCACTCAAGTATGACCTGAACCTTTGGCAGTGTGATTGGGGCCTGCAGCCTTTATGGATAGAGGATATTCCATAATACAAGCACCAAATTGTACTTCCAGGATATTTCTACTGTGCTACTCAGCTCTAGGAAACCCTCTAGGATGATTAGAAATTTCTTAGCATGTGTGTTGTTACAGAAACTGATATCCCCCTTATGAATTTTACTGGAAGAAAACAATTTTGCAATGCATTTTCTATCCCCCCTTGCATTTTTATTAATTTATGATGCCACAATTAAGGTGCATTTGATCTAGAACTTTTATTCTAAAGCCTCTATTTACCTGTATTTTCTAGCATTTATGTCATGAAGATTGGTCTTAGCCCAGAGATGGAAGGCAAGAAGGGAGGTAGAGAGGAAAGGAAGATCTTCTTAAGAAGGTTTTTCTGTCATTTTCATGAGACTACAAAATAATCACCACATCACCACACTCAAACATGTAGTTTGAAATTCAGTGAAAATTCTTGTTTACTTCAAGAAACCTGGAAGTGTGTATTTCTTCATAAACATTTAAAATCTAATACTGTTGGTCCAGGAAATTAATAACGAATCTTTCTTTCTCAAGCCTCAATTGCTTTATTTATAAGGGTCTGAGCTAAGTTGCTATATGAATCTTAACTCAAGCTAATAAATCAACCAAGCTTTGAAATTTCTTCGTGATTATTTTAACAATTCACACTGTTATTTATATCCGTGATTTTATTTTGAATGGTACTTTCTCAGTTGGAGAAGCAGTTGAACTCATTTTGAGCTCCTTTCAACTCATTGCTTAAGGCTGTGATTACTTTCATGTCCTAATTAAATGGGCACATCTCTCTCTTGCATCTTGTTTGCAAAGTCACAGCAGTCGAGGGCTATTTGATATTATGATTGATGAACATTATTTGATTTCTGCTGTCCAGTAATTATATGATATTTAATATCTGAATTGTTTTATGGCATTGGGTTCACTTTCTGAAGCAGGGTAATGGAGAGGGGTCATTAAAAGATCACATGCTTGTCTTTGAGAGAACGTTTCATCTGAAACAGAAACATGACAAACACACCATGTGCCTGTTACTATAGAACCGAAAAACCCTTTCCAGCTGTTTACACTTAAGATGCAAAATGGCAATTTGACACAGACTCACAGTGTGCTGTGAGCAGCTGCGTAAAAAGGCAGCCTATGGAGCATGCCCAGTGCGGGGAGCGCCCGCCCCCTCTAGATCTCTCAAGATAAGGCTTGAACTTTGCACTTGCAAATGTCACTGCATACGTTTTGCACTAGGGTTTTTTTTTTTTTTTAAAGGTTCTCTTACAACTAATTTTCTTTAACAATCTAAAAGCAGGGAGGAGATTATTTAGGGTAGTAAAATGCATTAAGTTTAGAACGAGTTGATGCCCGTCTCCTGTCTCTGAACGCACTTGAAGTGCTCTTTATTTTTAAAGCAACATAAAGCATTGGAGTGTTTATTTCCACCCCCCACCCCCCCGGAATGGAAAGATAAGAATCTCCTTGGATTGGAGTCCTTCGGGGTAGGGAGTGAAAGCCCCGGAGACAGGAAGGGACGGACCCGAGGGGCTTTGCCCAGAGCATGGATGGGAAGGGAGCGGGGCTCCTCCAGGGCTCTGCGCGTACTGAGAATCTGCGCTCGGGGCTGCAGCTGCGGGTGAGCCAGGCGCTGTCCGGCTGATGAAGGCCACCTGGATCAGGCTGCTGAAAAGAGCCAAGGGAGGAAGGCTGAAGAGCTCAGACATCTGTGTAAGCTCAAGGGCTTTCGTTTGCGGGAGACTTGATGTTGTGGTTGCTTGTGCTGTTGCGACAGTGGGTGCTGGCTGGGCTCTTGTCGTTTAGTAATAGGATCCTGACTGCAAGAGAGGGAGCGACGGAGAGTCCTGTAATTTTCTGAGCTCCTTTTCCTCTGCTGTGATTTACTTACTGCCTTAGGAGGTATTGGGGACAGGTGTTTTCTGTAGACAGCTCTTAATAAATATCTATTGAAGGGGATTGAAAAATGTGTTGCTTAAAGGTTGAGTGAAGCTCGCAGCTGTTGTCGTAGGGTTTTGTCAGAGAAGGTGTCGGGTGAATATAAAGGTAAAAAGGATGCTTAAGAATTAAAGTGGGAGCATCTCATGGTAGTGATATTGTTTGAGTTCAAGTTTATAACTCCTTAGACTTTCTTTTATGGCTTTTTTAGACCTACCTTCTTTCTAGTTGTAAATACTTGATTTGGCGTGCAGATGTTCCTGAAGCTATCCTTGAAACCCATCTATGCCCTTCAGCCCTGCACTGCATCTTGGAGCAGATTTAATCATCAAGGAATGTGTTCTGTCTTCCAGAAAGGTGGAAACTGGAACGCAAAGCTTGGAATGGTAACTTGGTAGGTACAACTATCCTAGCCAATGGTCTCCAAACCAGATTGTTATTTTTCTAGATAGTTTGCCACAAAGTGGGTCATTTTCTCCTCTTTTCAGGAACTTATAACACAATCTAGGAAGCTAACTGCCGTGTCAGTGAGACCTTTCCAATGCAAGCATCATAGATGGGATCTATTTTAAAATGTGAATTTTCCTCCCAAGGGTTCGGCAGACTCCTACACCAGCCGTCCATCCGATTCAGATGTGTCTGTGGAGGAAGATCGGGAGGCAGTGCGCAGAGAAGCCGAGCGGCAGGCCCAGGCCCAGTTGGAAAAAGCAAAGGTAAATCCACTTGTTCCCTGCCAAGCTCTTTGCCATTTGTGCTAGGACCCTGGGGGGCCACCTGTGGAAGGTTCTCCTAAAGTGTGTGTTTGGTCTCTCAAGGTATTTCGTTGTCTGATTTACAAGAGATACAAGAATCGGAGCACATATTCTTCCCTTGGTGGATAAAAGTGCGATACATATGAACGGTCTTGCCTTTTGTGTTGTTTTATACTCCAAGCAACTTATTTCCATGGGTGGATGGTTTATCTAGACACAGAAAAAGGATCCCTGAATTCAGAAAGAGGGAAAACTACATCTAATATTAAAATGATTTTGCTTCATTTTTTTTCCAGTTAACCATTTCTCTGTTGATAAAAACAAACTTTCTTCAAGCGAACATGTATGTTCTTAAACTTGAACCATTGTTCCCCCAAATTTTACTCCATAGGTATTTTATAAAAATATTTTACTTAAAAAATGGATTGCATTACGCTTTTGAAAAATAAAGCAACAAAGGATTTTACTAATTAAAAATGCCCCCTCCCATTAATTACCATTCCTTCCATTCATTAAAAGGTGGTGAAATACGTGAAGAGGGGAAAAAAAATTAGTGAGAATGTTTGCTTATCTTGACCTGAAAAATGGTTACATGACTGTATACTCATGTCAAAATTCACTAAGCCATTCACTAAAAATAAGTGAGTACAAAGGAAATAAATTTTAAAAAATACAAGTGCACCCCGGGGTGGGGAGAAAAAAATATTTTAAACAAGAAAAAAAAAGTTTCTTCCCTTTTTTGGGGACCACTTTCTTCTCCATACCATATATGGAAAGGAGACCAAAAGTGAGATATGAAATATATAAGCACAGAATTGAGCTGAGATTGTGTTTCATTTCACAAACTGTAATGATTTGAGTTATTTTCCCCATACAGCCATTTGAACAGCAGCTGTTTCTAAAGCATAGATTGTTCAAGTTTAAGTTACCTTGGTTTGTGTGACACAGCAGAACTTTGAGATCATCACATTTTAACACAGTTGTTGGTTTTCTTTTTTAAAAAATTACTACTTTGAAAAAAAGTAAATACCATGGTGATCGTGCTAAAAGAATCAAGGGTAGCATCAGACACTTCTGGCTGCTTCATCCCTGAGATGAGTAAAATCTGTGTGTTGCTATGGGAATCGTGGCTTAAAGATTCTGGTTTACACGGACAGCCCTTATGCAATAGTCATGGCCTCCAGCACACATGCCATCCTTACAGTGGAACTGCCAGGAGACCTTGACTTATAAAAAGCAGTATTTCCATATATCAAAACAATACCTTAGCTGGCAGGGAAGTCATCTCTAGGTCTGACACAGTCTTGATTGCAAGACAGTTCGAAAGGAGCAGGAGCAGGCAGCTGATAAAGCAAGGTGTGGCCCAGTTGCCGTCCACTGATCTGCTGCACCCTAGTTAACCATTTCAATTGTTATCAGGCAACAACATGATGAACCTGGAGGACGTTATGGTAAGGGAAATAAGCCAATCACAGAAGGACAAACAGTAACTCCACTCATAGGAAGCATCTCATAGAAGCAGTCAGTAGCATGATGGTTGCCAGGGGCTGGGAGAGGAGGAAATGGGGATGATGCATAAGTTCGAGAGATCTGCTGTACAACATTGTGCTTATAGTTAATAGTTAGCAATATTATACATTGCACCTAATGATTTGTTAAAAGGATAGATATCTTGTTGTTCTTACTACAATAAAAAATATGAAGTTGAAATTAATGAACATATAACTAGTAAAGTTAATAGCCACTAGTTAGCAGTATAGCTATTAATATACATTGCAATTCAGAATCTGAATTCTACGTTTTGTATTTTGCACTAGGGTGCAAATACAAGAAAAAAAAACAACAGTTTTTATGCCAGAAATGGCTGTTTTATTTGCATTAATTTATTTGATTTCTCATACTAAAATTTAAGTCTCTTAGATTCATATCACATCCTTATAAACTCAGTATCAGTAGGTTTGATTTTCAAAGTCTTTATTATCTGATTGGGGCATTTTTGTCCATGGCTATATGTACAAGGCCTGAGTTAAGTGACGCAGCTGCATTAAATATCTCTTAAACCAGCATGTATCAAAATATTAGTCCTAAATCAAACCAGGTTACTTGTCATGCAGACTCAAAAATCTATATGTTCATATAATGTAGAAGATGGAAGAATACACAGAGAATTTAAAATAAGGATAAAGTAATTGAAAGGCTATTTCCTATGTTTAATGAAAATAGTTTATTTACATTCATATTTCTTCCTTAAAATTAGGTTAATATCTTAAACCTTTGATGTATTCAAATGAGCTAGCTAGGGTAAGTGGGAATTTGAATATGTTCTGAAAGAAGATAGGACTAGGATTTAAGTTTACTTTATTTGAAAATCCTGGTTTCATAGATCCTGTTTATGAATTCCAGTATCCTTGAAGAAGGAGTGCAAAAAAGGGATTGTAGATGGCTCATTCATTAGGTTATTTTTATCTATTTCCTTCTACCTTACCTTTATATCTTCATTCCTTTTTTTGGACCTATTTCCAAATGAAACCTTAAAATATATGCAAAGCCTTAAACTGTATATGAATATATGTTAATATATATATGAAGTCTTTAAAACATGAATTTATTGTTTTAGGTAATTTAAAACACTTTTTGCACATCCGTTTTGGAAGAGTAAAAAGTTGTCTACATTATTTTGCTATCATAGCATCCCTCAAATGAAAGACTTTATAAGTGGGTGCTTTCATTCAGTGACCCTGCAGATCACATGCAATAAGTCTGTATAAACGCCTGGAATAAACCTCAGTAGCATTCTGAGATCCTGGCCCTCTGAAAATATGAGCGATAATATTCATTAATTGTCTTAATACTGTCTGTGAAGTAAGGTGATCGGCAAGTAGTGACACTAGAGGTACTGCTTTTTGAAATTAAGTGACCTACAAAAGGTTGTATAATTCAGTGCTTCCAATAAAACCCTTTACTTTTCCCTAGCACTTTATTATGACTTCTCTTAAACTAGAAGACTCCCCACTGAACAAATTATATATTAATTTTGAGGCAAATAAATACCACCTGTCATGACCCTGTTTTTTAACTTGGTGATTTCTGATCCCAAATGCATGTTGTGATCCCATTTAGTTTTGCTATACTTTATAAATCATTCCTGATTTAAGCTGCCTCTCTGAGTTTGCCTTAAAGACAAGTAATATATGAATTTAATATATTCCCATATTGATCATTTTTTAAAAATAGCTTTATTGAAATGTACAATTCAGTGATGTTTAGTATATTCACAGAGTTGTACAACCATCACCTACAATCAATTTTAGAGCATTTCATTGCTCTCCAAAGAAGTCCCATGTTCTAAATTAGCAGTCCCTCACTTTTCAACCCCTCAGCTTCTTCTATCTTTATACATTTGCCTAGTCTGTACATTGCATATAAGTGAAATCATACAGTAGATGGTCTGTTGATTGGCTACTTTCACTTACATAATCTTTTCAAGGTTCATCCATGTTGTAGCATGTGTCACTACTTCATTCCTTTCTATTGCTGAATAATATCTCATTGTGTGGATATATCATATTTTATTTATCCATTTATCAGTTGATGGACATTTGAGTTGTTTCTACCTTTTAGCTACTGTGAATAATGCTGTCATAAACATGTACAAGTTTTGCAGGCATATATATTTTCATTTCTCATATGTATATATCTAGAATGCAATTGTTGGGTCATGTGATCTTTTTTAGTTTGAAAGAACATTATTTTCTTTCCCCTGTCATTCCTGAGAATGATCCCTTCTGCCTTATAGTCAGAGATTGTGAGTTGGGAACTCTGGATGTGGAAGGGATTGGAGTGGATATGAAAGAGGTTCAGTGCATTATTCTCTGTAGAATGGATTAGCATTACATTTGAAGTTGGGTTCTCACATCAGTGAACGTCTACTATATTAAAGCAATTCTGTTAGGCACAGTCGGTAAGCAGACAGACTGCAAGGCCAGAACCACGAAGGAACAGGCAGATCTTTTCCCTGTAGAGAGCTTCTACTTGTTTAGCCACAAAAGTCTTGGCCTTAAACCATGCAAATTGCAGGTAGAATAGAAGCACCTTAGGGGAGCAGAGAGGCCTGCCAGCATCGGAGGAAAAGACTGCACCCTGCTGGCAGGAACGGAAAACCCTTCCTGGAGGAGGTGGTGGCTTAGAATTAAGACCTCACAAATGGCCAGCTGGAGCTTAGTTTATGAAGTAGAAGGCAGAGTGGAGAAGAGGGAAATGCCTGCTAGGCCTAATAAGTTGTGTTAAGTAAAGGCCAGCTGAAGGAAGTGCTTGGCAGTAAGAAAATATGGACCCTTCCAGAGACAGGTTACTTTGTTACCATCTTGCCAACTTGAAAATTACTTTATTCTAGCCTCACATTTAATTAATAGTTTTGGCTGGGTATAGCACTCATCTGTGAAAAACACTCCAGAATTTTAAGGACAATTATTTGTTGTCTTCTAGCTTCTAGTACTGTTGCCATGCTTGCCATCGTCCTTCAGTCTTTGTGGTTTTCATGTTTTAATTTTCTCTTTTAATGTTGAATACTTCCTTTGGTAGTTTGAAATCTTGCCTTAGTGTGCATTTTATTATTGTGCCTGGTTTCTCATATGAACATTAGTTGTGAGGGGCCAGTCACTTCAGTTCTGGAAGATGACTTAAATTTTTCTTTGATCACTTTTTTCTACTGTATTTTCCTCTTTTCCTGGCTCTCTGGTTTGTCAGAAGTTTGATTAGAGCTTTCTTCCCTACTCCTCTTTTCTCTACCATCCCTCTGCCTTTTTGTTCTACAGTCTGAGTTTTTCTCCATTTCTAACCCATCTATTGAAATTTTTGAAAATTTCTAATTACCAGTAGCTTTCTTCTCCTCTCCCCTTTTATAGCTTCTTGTTCTTATTCTAGGGCTGAAATACTTTATCTTCTGTCTCTTAAGCTATATA